CCCTCCCCGCTGCGTCCATGGCCACACTGCTAATGAACATGAAAGCGTGGGGCGGAAAGGTCGCTCCAGAGCCACCCAGGCCCTCTTAGCCACAGCCGCAGGACGTGTTCATGCCATTCCCTGGCAAAGGAGGGAAATGGTTAGCAGGTTACGGAGAGAGCGCTTGTTCTTGCAAAGAGAAGAGGAGGGTGTTGCTGCCTGGCTGGAAGGGAAGGGAGGCCTCCCTAAAATGCCACGCCTAGACCTCGGAATCATTTCAAAGGAGAACAGACATTTGCACGCATTCAATGCTTCATAGAAAAATGGGATGCACTCTTCTTTAAGACCATTCACATTGCAGAATTATATCACTTTGACACCACTTTGACGTAGCTCTATCCTATAGGTTTGATAAAATGATAAAGAGTAGAGACATCAGACTGGCAACAAAGATCCATTGCCTAGTCAAAGCCATGGTATTCCCTGTAGTCACCTACGGATGTGAGAGCTGGACCTTAGGGAAGGCTGAGCCAAGGAAGAGAGGCGCTTTTGAGCTGTGGTGTTGGAGGAAAGTTCTGAGAGTGCCTTGGAGTGCGAGAAGATCCAACCAGTCCATCCTCCAGGAAAGAAAGCCCGACTGCTCATTGGAGGGAGGGAGACGAGAGACAAAGTGGAAGTCCTTTGGCCACATCATGAGGAGACAGCAAAGCCTAGAGAAGACAGTGATGCTGGGGAAAGTGGAAGGCAAAAGGAAGAGGGGCCGACCAAGGGCAAGATGGATGGATGGCATCCTTGAAGCGACTGGACTGACCTTGAAGGAGACCCTGGGGGTGGTGATGGCCGACAGGGAGCTCTGGCGTGGGCTGGTCCATGAGGTCACGAAGAGTCGTAGACAACTGAACAAATGAACAACAACAACAACATAGGTTCCTGGGAATTGTAGTTTGTTGTGGCACCGGAGCTCTCTGAGAAGAGTGAATATCTCACAAAACTACAGATCCCGGATTGTCAAACCATGCAGGTGTTGGGTTGTTGTAGGTTTTTCGGGCTATATGGTCATGCTCTAGAAGCATTCTCTCCTGACGTTTCACCCGCATCTATGGCAAGCATCCTCAGAGGTTGTGAGATTAGGGTTAGGGGATTTATGTTCTAGAAGCATTCTCTCCTGATGTTTCACCTGCATCAACGACTTAAATCAAGAAATAGTTTTCTAAGATCTACAGAGACACTTGCTGGAACACCTTAGCAAGCGAGAATCCAAAAGTGGCAGGCTCAAACCCAGAACCTCAATCAATGGCTGATACCCAATGAGAGACTCTCCCCTGGGCACACAGAAGACTGGGCGACTTGGAAGGCGCTGAACAGACTGCGCTCTGGCACCACGAGATGCAGATCCAACCTCAAGAAATGGGGCCACAAAGTGGAATCCACGACATGCAAGTGTGGAGAAGAGCAAACCACTGACCACCTGCTGCAATGCAACCTGAGCCCTGCCACAAGCACAAGGGAGGACCTTCTTGCGGCAACACCAGAGGCACTCCCAAGGGCCAGATACTGGTCAAAGGACATTTAATCAACTACCAAATTTTGTGTTTTGTCTGTTTGTTTGTTAAAAATGCAATACAACTGTTTGGTTTGCTCCTGACACAATAAATAAACTGTGTTTTGCGTGTGTTGGCAAAGAATTGTTGCTGTTGTAAGCCATGTAGGGAAGTCATGCTCCCCATGCTCTATTCTGCTTTGGTTAGACCACACCTGGAATATTGTGTCCAATTCTGGGCACCACAATTCGAAGAGAGATATTGACAAGCTGGAATGTGTCCAGAGGAGGGCGCCTCAAATGATCAAGGGTCTGGAGAACAAGCCCTATGAGCGGCTTAAGGAGCTGGGCATGTTTAGCCTGAAGAAGAGAAGGCTGAGAGGAGATATGATAGCCATGTATAAATATGTGAGAGGAAGCCACAGGGAGGAGGGAGCAAGCTTGTTTTCTGCTTCCTTGGAGACTTGGACGCAAGGGAACAATGGCTTCAAACTACAAGAGAGGAGATTCCATCTGAACATGAGGAAGAACTTCCTGACTGTGAGAGCCGTTCAGCAGTGGAGTGTGGTGGGGGCTCCTTCTTTGGAAGCTTTTAAACAGAGGCAAGATGGCCATCTGTCAGGGGTGATTTGAATGCAGTATTCCTGCTTTTTGGCAGGGAATTGGACTGGATGGCCCATGAGGTCTCTTCCAACTCTTTCACTCTATGATTCTTTCCCTGCAAACTCTTTCTCCCTCTCCTCATTGTGAGAGGCCATTCATGTAAAGAGGAAAGGTAGCCTTTTTGGCTTTGCTTTGCTTCCTTGCACTGAACATGAAATTGACTTTGGGAGGTTTGCAAGCATTGCAGAATTCAAATGAAAAAGTATTGGGTGAGTTTTGCTTCTTAAGTTTTTGTATGGGTGCTCCCCCCCCCCACCCCAGTGTTTCATAATATTTGTATATATGTACAAAACGTACGAATTAGATACGATTTACTAATTAAAAATGAAATTATGCACAGTAGGCTTGGTTGATCCAAGTCGTAAGTTTCTTAAATCGTAATGAAATCGTAAATAAATTACCTTTTGAAGCGATATCGACGCGTTTTGGCAACCCGGAAGTGTTTTTGCCATATCGAAGCCGCATCCGCCATCTTCCTTACGACTTCCGCCAGTGAATCATAAATGCTGGGGGCGTGGCCTTCAGGAACAGCTGTTCTTACCCACGCCCACCTCCTTCCTCTTTGCATCGGCGGCTTTGTGAGGTGGGCGTGGCTACGGCCAGCTCTTCCACATCGCCACTTGTCGCCAGGGAGGTAGCCACGCCCACCTCTCAAAGCCCACCTCGCAAATCTGCCGATGCAAAGAGGAAGGAGGTGGGGGTGGGTAAGAACAGCTGTTCCTGAAGGCCACGCCCCCAGCGACCTCCAAGGAGAGCTGTGTTTGGCCACATCCACCTCTCCCTTCTGCATGGAAGCTCGCGGCAAGGGAAGGAAGGGAAACGGCGAGATTTTAATGGTTCTGGAGGGAGAGAGGGGCACCTTCCATTAACGAAACAAAGGAAGCGATTCGTGTGCAGGTACAACTGCACCAGGAGCTCCAATTTTGTTTGCTTTGCATTTAATGTTTGTTATAGTCCCAGGTTTCAGGGACTCTGCAGATAGGTGGCTTCTTTTGGCTGCAATCATAGGGCAAGCCACCTGTCAATTATAGTTAGGTTCCCTGGTCCCACCCCCTTTTGGGTTTTTGGAGGGAATAGGAGCCTTTTTGGGTCAGTCCACACAGAGAAGCCTTTCATGCAGGACATAATACCAAGAGCTCCTGTAGAAAGCTTCGTTTTCTACGGCTTGGCCGGGGAGATATACAGCCTACGGCTTGGCTGGGGAGATACAGCCCCACAGCTTGGCCGAGGATCATACAGCCTTACAGTTCCTTCGCTGAGGGACTTCAGCTGGCCATCACTGAAACCTGAACTCCTTCTTTTCCCCTGGAAGTCTACAAAGCTCTGCTTGGCAAGGGTCGCTTGCGGAAGCCAGACGCAGTTGGTACCGGGTGCAGGGGCTCCACGCCAACAGAGGCAAAGACAGACTGCCCAGATTAGAAGTTAAGGATTTCCCCATTAGTTAGTATACAGTTAAGAAGATAGTGCCTGTTCCCAGTGAACAAGATTGCAAGAGCCAATAGACGGTTAAGAAAGCTTTAAAGTACCTGTTTGTTTTCATCAATAAAGAACTTTGTTGGACTTACTTTAAGCCTCTACAGAACTCTGTTTTGGGGAGATTCCAAGGGCCTTTGATCTGAGGCAGCCCCGGCGTCCCGTTGGGCACACATAATTTATGTCCTGTCTACAGTCTTATGCACAGGCCCAGCGTGAGACAGCATAATTCGTATTTCCTGGTATTTCTGATCTTTTTTTCAAGAATTTTTTTGGAAATAACACTGTTCGACAAATTTTCAGTTTTTCTCAGTTTCGGAAACGAAATGTGCCATTTCTTAATAAATTTAACATGCTGAATTCAAATATAATAATTAAATGTGTTAATTGGCTCTGGTTTTTATGCAACAGCTATTTCAATTTTCTCCACAATAGGTAATTCATTCATATTATGAGAATACGCCTAACCTTACTGCATGTATATAAACCGTGAATATTTACTAAATTTTAGTCAAATTATATTGCCAATAGTTTATACATGAGAAATATTTATTTAATTAGTCTACTGTTTATGTTTGTGCTGCAAGAAACTCTATTCGTAGGCCTAATGCAGTTGAAAAGTCTGAAAGTGTAAATGTCGCTTTAATCGTGACTTTAGTTTCTATCCTGTTTGCTTCTCTTGACTTTCCTTTTGTATTCAAGGAAAGGATTCCCTCTTGCAATGCTCCAGCAGGAGTCTGACAGCATTGACGGAGTCCATTGGCCTTGATCTCTTTTTTCCATAGTGCTTTATTTACACACGTGTGAGGCATCACTACAGTAAAAAGAACAATGTAAAACGATGTTTAACGAGACTGTCTCAGTCTTCAACTGACTGACCCTCACCGTTCCAAAGTCTGGCCTTATAGAGGGCTTTCTGGCTTTTGCACACTACACTAATACTGTGTCATCAAACTTTCTAGAATATTCTAGAATCTTCCATAGTGTAAGTCGCAACATGCATTTTTTCAACCATACGTGATCACGTGATTGCTTATATCATAAAAACTAGAGCCAATATACATTTTTAAATGTCATTTTTGTTTTCAGCACCCCAAAATCATAAAAGAACAACTATTTTCAGGCCTGCAACTTTTTCTCCGTTGAACAGTGTAATTTCAAAATCGAACCGCCAGCGCCCCCTACGTACAAAACGGGTTTAGAACCATTTTTTTTTCTTGATCAACCAAGCCTAATGCACAGCCTTACGTTGGAACCAATTCGGAGGCACAACGACGACGTCAAACATCCTGACCATCGGGAGTGTCGGAATTTCTCCGGAAACACAAACGCGACTTACCACGCCTTACCTGGAAATAAGCTTTATTGAACATTGTTGTAAAATTATTTCTTTCAGTTGAATTACTGAATTATCGGCACAAACTTTTTTTTTCTACAGATTTGTTTTAAAAAATCAAGCCTCGTCACTTTTTTCTTTTTACTGCATCTCTTTGTGCTTTTTTTTCTTCTTCAAAATATTAATGTTTTCAAATGCTATTCTTTTTCGACTTCCTTGGAATATCCGAATTATTTGCATATGAGTTTCCCCCTCCCTCTCGTCGTTTCCTCCTCGGGTATTGGGAAGAACGTAGAATAATCGTGATCATTAGAATAATAATAATAATAGTAACTCTTGCTTAGACAAAAACTCTCTTTCTCTCTCTTTCATGTGAAGTTAAAAGCTGAGATAACTGAAGGGAAAAGGTCTCCCGATTTCCGTTGCCAACTCAGCCGGGGAAATGTACACTGTATTGGAACATTGGCTGCTTACTCATAGGTATGGGGTGGAACCAGGTAGCTGAAAATAAATTTTTACAAGTTTTATTATTATTATTACCATTATTATTATTCTCTCTCTCTCTCTCTTTCTCTCTCTCTCTCTCGTTTTTGTAAAAGTGGTTTTTTTTTTAATTTTTGCTAAAATAATAAAATAATATTTCACAATTTGCACAGAGTCTGATGAAAGGGCAGAGGCCTTCTTCTTCTTCTTTTCTCCGCGTGTGGGAATGGAACCAGGTTCAGCCAGCCTGCAAGTTTCACCGCAAAAGAGTTCGAGTTTTTTTTTGTTTGTGTGTTTGTTTGCCGTACGCACTGCAACGTCCCTTGGAAATTCGGTCTCGGCTCGGTATAAAGTTAGAACCAATCTCGGTTTTGTTTTTGTTTTGTTTTTTTCCGCACAGAGGTTAGAGTTAGAAAAAAAATGTGTGTGTTCATGTGTGTGTTTGTGTGTTGCGCATCTCCTTTTGAGCTACAGGCCCTCCACGACGTTGGTAGCCCAAAAAGCCAGGGGTGGATCGCTCCATTTCGCCCTCGACTAGATGAAGGCTGTTTCCGACGCGCCGTCTTCATCTCGGAAGGATCTCCGCGCTCTCCTTCGAGTCAATCCATTTTGAGAAATATACGTCTTTCTCCAAGTCTCCATCCTAGAAAACAACACCGACACGGATCCCACCCCCCAAAAGAGTTATACGCAAAACCCTCCTTGAGTTTGCACGCACCTCTCCGCTGGAACGTCTGCATGTGTGTGTCCGTGTGTGTGTATACATGTGTGTGGTTTCCTCTCCCACCCCAACCCCATTTTTATTTCTCAGGCTTGTTATCATTGAAGGCACTTGGTTTCCATGGCATTTTTAGAAAAAAAGATGGTAGTTTGGTTTTCTTCGTCACTTGGTTCGAAGGGATGGTTTCGGTCGGGGACGGGAGCGGGTGGGATGAGAGGCGGAAAAGTCGGAGCGGGATGTTCTCGGGGGACACGGGGTGGGAGGAGGTGTGTTCAAGTGGCCGCAAGCAAACTCCGGGCAAAGTCCACACCGCCGTCTTTGTACGTCCCGGAGTTACGTCGATGCATGCAAAGTGGAGACTGCGTACCGCCGCTGCGCATTGCCATGAGGAACTGAAACAGAATGTCTTCAACCGCGCATGAGCGTCAGCCCAGCGGCGCATCTAGAGGCAAGGAAAGGGACTGCAGCTCGTGGTTGGACTCGATGCGAAAAAACGAAAAGGAATCGCCCAATTCCACTGGTACCCTGTTTTGCAATGAGGCGTAGGGATGTACTCCCCTCTCTCTTCCTCCTCCTCGTCTCTCCCTCTTTTCCCCCTCTTCCCTCTTTCTGAAATCTCTCTTCCGGCAGGCCATTCGGATCCCATGGCAACAAGCAAACTATTCATTTGAAACAAAACAAGCCATGACTTGTGCTTTGACGAGGAATTCGGCAGCTCTTTTGACAAGAGTTCTTCCAACGGAGACCGTGTGTGTGTGTTTGTGTGTGTCCGGTGTGTGTGTGTGTCGTGTTGAGTGTGTCTCTTTTTGTCCCCTTCCCGATAGTTCATCTCTAATTAACCGCACAAAAAAAGAGAAAGCACCTGAAGGTCTTTGTCCTTCACGTCCGCATGTGGCACGTGGCACGCGGAGGTGCCCACAGTCCCCTTCGCTGATTCGTTTCATGTGTTTTATCTTTAAAAACTCCCAATGCTTCCTTTTTCATATATATAGGTATATATATATATGAAATATATATATATATACTTTAGGATTGATTCATCTTCTTCTTCTTCTACTTCTTTAAAAAAACGTATTTGAGTCAGTCCGTGGAGGAATCTTTGGTAGTTTTTGTTTTGTTTGTTTCTTTTTTGAAATGTTCTCTTTTCTTCATGCCAGTGCGTGGTACGTCTGTGTTGCAGCCTCTGCCGGAAGAAGGTCACCTCTGATGACTTAAGACAGACACGAGAAGGAACACGGGGAAAATCCGTATATGGGGCAGTCTCCTGCCTGCACCCGAAGGTATATCTGGAAAAGGAGGAGGAAGAGCAGTCAGTCACCTTCCGCATTGGGCAGGTGCGCTTTGCAATTCAGTATGAGAGTCAGGTCTAGACATTACAGGGGTTATTCATTTAATTAATAGCCTGATATGAGACCCACAATAGGAGTAAAAATACAGTTTAGAAAATAATAATAATAATAATAATAATAATAATAATAATAATAATAATAATTGTTGAAGGCTTTCATAGCTGGAATGACTGGGTTGTTGTAGGTTTTTCGGGCTATATGGCCATATTCTAGAGGCATTCTCTCCTGATGTTTTGCCTCCATCAATGACAGGCAATCTCAGAGGTTGTGCACCTCTGAGGATGCCTGCAATAGATGCAGGCGAAACGTCAGGAGAGAATGCTTCTAGACCATGGCCATATAGCCCAAAAAACCTACAACAACCCAATACTAATAATAATAATAATAACAATAATGCAAAGACTCTGGCACAAACTAGTGAAGGTGGTCCCAGTGGTGATTGGCACACTGAGTGCAGGGCCTACAGGGGCGGCTCAACCCATTACACAAAGTAAGCCTTTGCAGTATAGTTGATTTTGCCCAGGGGCGCTCTTGAGGCGCTTTTGGGGGGAAATAGACCTTGACATATGCGAGTTGTAGTTACTGGGATGTATAGTTCACCTACAATCAAAGAGCATTCTGAACTTCACCAATGATGGAATTGAACCAAATATGGGAGTTCTGTGTGCCATAGAATCATAGAATCAAAGAGTTGGAAGAGACCTCATGGGCCATATTTGGTTCAATTCCATAATTGGTGGAGTTCAGAATGCTCTTTGATTGTAGGTGAACTATACATCCCAGTAACTACAACTCGCATATGACAAACAGAAAATATATATCAAGGATTGGTTGGGGGGGGGGACGGGGACCAAAGTACTGTTTGCTTACCGTCGAAAATTACCTAGGGCCGCCTCTGAGTGCCTAAAGACCTTGGCCTGCACTTAAACACAATCGGCGCTGACAAGATTACCATCTGCCAGCTGCAAAAGGCCACCTTACTGGGATCTGCACATTTTATTTTAATAATAATAGACACTTGGGAAGTGTCCGACGTGTGATCCAATACAACAGACAGCAGAGTGTCTGCTGTGGACTCATCTTGTTGTGTTTCAAATAATAATAATAATATTATTAATAATAATAATAATAATAATACACTTTATTTATATTCTGCTCTGTCTCCCCGAAGGGACTCAGAGCAGATTAGAATATCCACATATATAGGCAAACATTCAATGCCTTTTATATGGTGAACAACAATGACATACAATACACAGACAAAGGCAAAGGTTTCCCTTTCCATTTCTGGCCACTGGAGGCAGTGCTCAACTCTGGCCATGGGGAGGTGCTCTTGTCCTTAGACTCCTCCGGGTTGTGTTTTGCTGCCATGGCTGCATGGGCGCCTTTTACCTCCCGCCAAGGTGGTACCTATTCCCATTGCATGTTTTTGAACTGCTACGTTTGGCAGAAGCTAGGGCTCAACACTGTTGAGTTCAACACTGGATTATGTTCAGTTTAACACTGGACTATGGTGAGTTTAACACTGGACTATGATGAATTCAACAAGGGACTATGTTGAGTCCAACACTGGACTATGTTGAGTCCAATACTGGACTATGTTGAGTCCAACACTGGACTATGTTGAGTCCAACACTGGACTATGTTGAGTTCAACACTGGACTATGTTGAGTCCAACACTGGACTATGTTGAGTCCAACACTGGACTATGTTGAGTCCAACACTGGACTATGTTGAGTCCAATACTGGACTATGTTGAGTTCAACACTGGACTATGTTGAGTCCAACACTGGACTATGTTGAGTCCAACATTGGACTATGTTGAGTCCAATACTGGACTATGTTGAGTCCAACACTGGACTATGTTGAGTGCAACACTGGACTATGTTGAGTTCAACACTGGACTATGTTGAGTCCAACACTGGACTATGTTGAGTCCAACACTGGACTATGTTGAGTCCAATACTGGACTATGTTGAGTCCAACACTGGACTATGTTGAGTTCAACACTGGACTATGTTGAGTCCAACACTGGACTATGTTGAGTCCAATACTGGACTATGTTGAGTCCAACACTGGACTATGTTGAATTCAACACTGGACTATGTTGAGTCCAACACTGGACTATGTTGAGTCCAACGCTGGACTATGTTGAGTCCAATACTGGACTATGTTGAGTCCAACACTGGACTATGTTGAGTTCAACACTGGACTATGTTGAGTCCAATACTGGACTATGTTGAGTTCAACACTGGACTATGTTGAGTCCAACACTGGACTATGTTGAGTCCAACACTGGACTATGTTGACTCCAATACTGGACTATGTTGAGTTCAACACTGGACTATGTTGAGTCCAATACTGGACTATGTTGAGTTCAACACTGGACTATGTTGAGTCCAACACTGGACTATGTTGAGTCCAACACTGGACTATGTTGAGTCCAATACTGGACTATGTTGAGTTCAACACTGGACTATGTTGAGTCCAACACTGGACTATGTTGAGTCCAACACTGGACTATGTTGAGTCCAATACTGGACTATGTTGAGTCCAACACTGGACTATGTTGAGTCCAACACTGGACTATGTTGAGTCCAATACTGGACTATGTTGAGTTCAACACTGGACTATGTTGAGTCCAACACTGGACTATGTTGAGTCCAATACTGGACTATGTTGAGTCCAACACTGGACTATGTTGAATTCAACACTGGACTATGTTGAGTCCAACGCTGGACTATGTTGAGTCCAATGCTGGACTATGTTGAGTCCAATACTGGACTATGTTGAGTCCAACACTGGACTATGTTGAGTTCAACACTGGACTATGTTGAGTCCAACACTGGACTATGTTGAGTCCAACACTGGACTATGTTGAGTCCAACACTGGACTATGTTGAGTCCAACACTGGACTATGTTGAGTCCAACACTGGACTATGTTGAGTCCAATACTGGACTATGTTGAGTCCAACACTGGACTATGTTGAGTCCAACACTGGACTATGTTGAGTCCAACACTGGACTATGTTGAGTCCAACACTGGACTATGTTGAGTCCAATACTGGACTATGTTGAGTTCAACACTGGACTATGTTGAGTTCAACACTGGACTATGTTGAGTCCAACACTGGACTATGTTGAGTTCAACACTGGACTATGATGAATTCCACACTGGACCATGTTGAGTCCAACAAAGGACTACTCTTCTTGATGTAGCCTAGAATTGTGTTGGCCTTTTTAGCTGCCACATCACACTGAGGACCCATTTTCAGCTTGAGATCTTCTAAGACTTCAAGATCCTTAGAAGTCAAGTGTCATCCATCTTAAATCATTTCCATTGCCTAAGATTAGTACCTCCTTGTTGAAGTTGATTTTGCTCAGCTAGTCTTTCTAGCCTGCAAAGGTGATTTTCGATCCAGATTCTGTCCTCTGGGGTATGAGCTCTCCCTCCCAATTTGAGGTCACCTGCTAATTTGACCTTCATACCTTCTATTACATCATCCAAGTTATTGATAAAGATGATGAACAGCCTTGGAGGGACAACTGTATCATGTAACTGAATAGCTTTCGGTTCTGGCAACTATTGTGTGCTGTGGTCAACACTTACTTCCAGAGTAAAGCTTTCTGAATCTGCTGATATTTGTGTTTCACGAATGGTGTTTACCAGGGCATTCAGGTACTTCTTTGTGATTCATTCGTGCAAAGTTCCTCAGGACTCTTGTGCCACAGTGAAGAGGTCTACGCTCATGCCGCGCAAGAGCCTTGGGGGTGAAGCACGGCCCACACACGACTGCAAAGGGAATGGCATTATCCCGGAAGGGTCTCACTTACGATTGTCCGGAGATTCCGATTTCGTGCATTCTCCTTCCACGATGGATATGTCATCGACGGCTATGTCTCCTTCGATGCCACGGCCACGGATCCCTTCGAAAATAACCTGGGAAGGAAGGAAATGAGATGAACCTGGAAACTAAAAGTTCAGGGGATTACCTGCAAAACTAACTGTGCATTGCACCAATATATTATTATTATTATTATTATTATTATTATTATTATTATTATTATTATTAGCCATCCCCTGCCACGCGTTGCTGTGGCCCCATCTGGAAAATAAAGTAATGAGAAAGTGTTGGTTTCTAATATATGTAATTTATTTATGGTTGTGGGTAAACAGTATTTCTTGTTGTTTCTTTGTCAGTGTTGATGTGGTTTGCCCACTCTGGAACATGCAACATATCATTGTCCTTCTTTAGGGGTCCCTTTCAAATCTATGATACTATATCTCTGTGTGTGTGAATCATATCTATAGTATCTATCTCTATCTATGGCTGGATGGCTCTTTGTCAGGAGGGCTTTGATTATGTTTTCTTGCCCTGGTGAAGGGAGTTGGATTGGATGGCCTTAAGGCAGTATTTCTGTTGGTTGTAGAAGTTCTCTGTGGGAAGTTTGGCCCAATTCTCTTGTTGGTGTGGGTCCGAATGCTCTTTGATTGTAGCCGAACTATAAATCCCAGTAACTACAACTCCCAAATGTCAAGGTCTATTTCCCCCAAACTCCACCTGTGTTTTGTCGAAGGCTTTCATGGCTGGAATCACTAGGTTCTTGTGGGTTTTTTCGGGCTATAGGGCCATGTTCTAGAGGCATTTCTCCTGATGTTTCGCCTGCATCTATGGCAAGCATCCTCAGAGGATGCTTGCCATAGATGCAGGCGAAACGTCAGGAGAAAAGCCTCTAGAACAGGGGTAGGGAACCTTTGGCCCTCCAGCTGTGGTGGACTTCAACTCCCACAATTCCTTGAGGCTCGGCATTGGGCCAAGGTAAGCCTTTGGGGCGAATGCCGAGCCTCAAGGAATTGTGGGAGTTGAAGTCCACCACAGCTGGAGGGCCAAAGGTTCCCTACCCCTGCTCTAGAACATGGCCCTATAGCCCGAAAAAACTCCACCTGTGCTAATATTTGGACATATGGAATATTCACGCCAAGTTTGGTCCAGATCCATCATTGTTTGAGTCCACAGTGCTCTCTGGATGTAGGTGAACTACAACTCCCGAATTCAAGGTCAATGCCCACCAAACCCTTCTAGTGTTTTCTGTTGGACATGGGAGTTCTGTGTGTCAAGTTTGGTTCAATCCCATTATTGGTGGAGCTCAGAATGCTCTTGGATTGTAGGTTAACTATAAATTCCAGCAACTACAATTCCCATATGACAATACCATTTTTTTAGTGATGGGTTAACCTTGGGTTAGTAGGTGTCTTGTGGCCAAATTTGGCAGCAATTCGTCCAGTAGTTTTTGAGTGATGTTAATCCTACAAACGAAGATTACATTTTTATTTATATAGATTATTATGATTGTTGTTGTTGTGTTGTTGTTCATTCGTTCAGTTGTCTCCGACTCTTCGTGACCTCATGGACCAGCCTACGCCAGAGCTCCCTGTCGGCCGTCACCACCCCCAGCTCCTTCAAGGTCAGTCCAGTCACTTCAAGGATGCCATCCATCCATCTTGCCCTTGGTCGGCCCCTCTTCCTTTTGCCTTCCACTTTCCCCAGCATCATTCCCTTCTCTAGGCTTTCCTGTCTCCTCATGATGTGGCCAAAGGACTTCCACTTTGTCTCTAGTATCTTTCCCTCCAGTGAGCAGTCGGGCTTTATTTCCTGGAGGATGGACTGGTTGGATCTTCTCGCAGTCCAAGGCACTCTCAGAACTTTCCTCCAACACCACAGCTCAAAAGCATCTCTCTTCCTTCGCTCAGCCTTCCCTAAGGTCCAGCTCTCACATCCGTAGGTGACTACAGGGAAGACCATGGCTTGGACTAGGCAATGGATCTTGGTTGCCAGTCTGATGTCTCTACTCTTACTATTTTATCGAGACTGGACATGGCTCTCCTCCCAAGAAGGAAGCGTCTTCTGATTTCCTGGCCACAGTCTGCATCTGCAGTAATCTTTGCACCTAGAAATACAAAGTCTGTCACGGCCTCCACGTTTTCTCCCTCTATTTTCCAGATGTCAATCATTCTTGTTGCCATAATCTTGGGTTTTTTTTTATGTTTAGCTGCAACCCAGCTTTTGCGCTTTCTTCTTTCACCTTGATTAGGAGGCTCCTCAGCTCCTCCTCGCTTTCGGCCATCAGAGTGGTGTCATCTGCATATCTGAGGTTGTTAATGTTTCTTCCAGCAATTTTCACCCCAGCTTTGCATTCATCAAGCCCCGCACATCGCATGATGTGTTCTGCATACAAGTTAAAAAGGTTGGGTGAGAGTATGCAGCCTTGCCGTGCGCCTTTCCCAATCTTGAACCAGTCTGTTGTTCCGTGGTCAGTTCTGACTGTTGCTACTTGGTCCTTGTACAGATTCCTCAGGAGAGAGACAAGGTGGCTTGGGATGCCCATCCCACCAAGAACTTGCCACAATTTATTATGATCCACACAGTCAAAGGCTTTAGAATAGTCAATGAAGCAGAAGTAGATGTTTTTCTGAAACTCCCTGCCTTTCTCCATTATCCATTATTATGATTACTATCATTCTTATCATAGTATTATTTTCTTACCCACCTCTCCTTGTGGTTCAAGGTGGATTACAACATCGCTAAAACATACACAATCATCTAAAAACCTTCTACAAAACACACATATTAAAACATATTTCTACAAAATACATATTAAAATACACAAAACAAAGAACCACGTCTGCTTCTTTCTGATTGCTGAATTCTTGCTAACCGTAGCCCTAAAATAAGAAGGCAAGACATTGCATATATTTTGCAGTAACAGAGTGCGAAACCTCCCCAATTAGTTTTATGGATATATTTGTTTTCCAACAGGTTGTCAGCACATCTTCAGGAAGCGCATGTATCACATTGCTTATTAAAATGAATGCATACTGCAAAAATCAATAGCTACAGCATAACTTGCTTATGAGATCGTATGGCATAGAACGGGAAATATACATTTTAATAGTTGCATTAAAGTATTTATACCCCACGCTATATCACGCAAGGTGAGCCCCTACATCAAGGAGTTGGTCTCACATAGTTACATGAAGATATGTTACCTGCAACACTGCAACTAAATCTGCAAACAAATGTGAAATGCACAACTTGGAAGACACTAAACAGACTGCGCTATGGCACCACGAGATGTAGAGCACAATTCAAAGTGCTGGTTTTGACCTACAAAACCCTATACGGTTCCGGCCCAGTGTATCTGTCTGAACGGATCTCCCTCTACGTCCCACCTCGGAGTTTAAGATCTTCTGGGGAGGCCCTGCTCTCGACCCCGCCTCTATCACAAGTGAGGCTGGCAGGGACGAGGAGCAGGGCCTTCTCGGTGGTGGCCCCTCACCTGTGGAACTCACTCCCTGGGGAGATTAGATCAGCGACTTCCCTTTTTTCATTCAGAAAAAAAAATGAAGACCTGGATGTGGGACCAGGCTTTTGGACAGTCTGGCAGCTAAAGAAAAGACCTTGATGATGGGCAGGAATTGACGGAACGGAATGGATTTATGGAACTCTGAACACTGAGCATGAGATTGTTTACTACTGTGTTATGTATTGATGTTTTTAACCTGTTAACTGTGTAATTGCTTTTATGTATGTATGTATATTTGATATAGGCATCGAATTGTGCCTTTTTTGTAAGCCGCCCTGAGTCCCCCCTCCTGGTCAGTTGTAGGTCCTCCTGGTCAGTTGTAAGGCTGAACAGGGCATAGGATTACAACCTGTGTTGAATGGGGTCACACTCCCCCTGAAGACACAGGTTCAAAGCTTGGGAGTGATCCTGGACTCATTGCAGAGTCTGGAACCCCAGGTTTTGGCGGTGACCAGGGGAGCATTTGCACAGTTAAAGCTTGTGTACAGCTGCGCCCATACCTTGGGTAGTCTGACTTGGCCACAGTAGTCCATGCTCTGGTACATTCCATATAGATTACTGCAACACACTCTACGTGGGGTTGCCTTTGAAGACTGTTCAGAAGCTTCAAATGGTCTAGTGTGCAGCAACCAGGATTGTGGGATTGTGCACCGGGATTGTGGTGCAGCTGGCTGAGTGTGAGCTGCATTAAGATCACTCTGACCAAAGGTAATGAGTTCGAAGCCAGCCCGGGTTGGAGTGGGTTTCCAACCAATTGTGTGTAGCCTGTTGTCGACCTTTGCAACCCGAAAGACAGTTGCATCTGTCAAGTAGGAAAATTAGGTACCACCTTAAAAGTGTGGGGAGGCTAAATTAACTGATTTATGAGGCCATAAAGAAGACTCCAGCAAAGCATTCCAGCGGGGAAGCATGCGGGGAATGTGGAAGTGCTTCATCAGTGTCGCAGATGGACGATGGACGATGAAAGCGACAGCTCCCCTGGCGGCCAGAAAAAAAAGTCAAATAGCCTCTGCGTATGTCTGTATATGTTTGTATGTCAAAAATTGGCATTGAATGTTTGCCATATATGTGTACACTGTAATCCGCCCTGAGTCCCCTGCGGGGTGAGGAGAAGGGCAGAATATAAAGGCTCTATATAAAAGCTGTAAATAAACCAGGCTACTAATGGCAGCGGCGCTCAGGGAGCATACAACTCCTCTGTTGTGCCAGCTCCACTGGCTGCCAGTTTGGTACTGGGCACAATTCAAAGTGCTGGCGTTAGCCTATAAAGCCCTAAATGGTTCTGGTCCAACTGACCTATCCGAATGTGTCTCCCCTTACAAACCTTCCAAGAATTTATGATCTTCTGGGGAGGCCCCGATCTCAATCCCGCCTGTCTCACATGTGCACTTGGTGGGGACGAGAGACAGGGTCTTCTCAGTGGTGGCCCCTCAGCTGTGGAACTCCCTCCCTAGAGATATTAGAACGGCCCTTCCCTCCTGACTTTTAGGAAAAGGGTAAAAACCTGGCTTTTCGAGCAAGGTTTTGGAACCTCATTGTAACCAGACAAACTCAGTATTGTAAACAGATATGGAA